TCACTGGAACAAGAATAGTTGTTGAATCAGGATTGACCCAGAGTAGTACCTAAGAGGAAGTGTAATTAAACATTTTGGCTCGACCCTTCCTTCTCAAGCACTCTCGCCAAAGGCGGAGCCACTATGGGTCAGGACCGTGGTCCACTTTCAATTTTTTTTATACTACATATGGATCTGTATGTTTTAGACAATACTCCCAAATGATGTACCGTGTCCGCTCTATTACTCTCATACTTTAATAATGTTTTTTTTTTATATTATGAGTTGTGATTGGTTTATATACATCTTTACTCATTTTTATTGTCTTAGAACTTTCTTCAATTGGCTTTAACTTTTTATATTTAAGATTTTTTAGTTTTAGGTTCTTAATTGGACAGTCATATCACTTGCAATTGTCTTTTATTTTCCAGCAAATAATCATCTCTATTTTTCTATGACTATGGCTTGTTATGTTTGATATGTTTCAGCTGAGTTTTAATGCAATAACTATGCTTTACTTAGCTTTTTTTTTTTTTAATGATTTTGTTGTTTTAATATGTAATATCACGTCGTACAATCGATTGAATATTAATAGTTAGTCTTTTTTTTAAAAAAAGGTTGCACTTAGACTCTTTTTTCTTTATTTGTGTATTTTCAAATTTTATTCTTTACTTTCTAACAATTTTTTTTTTTACAGGCGAATATAACATTGCAAAAGTAAATATATTATTTAATTTTTACCTAATAGAGAAAAAATTAATATCATAATTAAGGTAACCATTCAAAAATAAATTTTTGGATCCGTCCGGATTGTCGCTTTGTTCTTTACGTGAACATTTTCTCTCGGAAAGAAAGAAATTTGACCTTTAAAGTGGGTGATTAATGAAAGGTTTTGGAGTGGAGAGGATTGTGACTTTTTTTTTTGGTGAGAAATTTGCAGAGTGGGTTAGGTGCCATTAGGCCACTGCTGACTTCAGATTGTGATCGAGTTGGATTGTTTGTGTGCAGTACAGGATCAATTCAGATTAAAACACATTTAAATTCGTTTATTTTCAACGTTTGTTGGACTCGATTTTAATCCTACGTTTGTTTATCTGTAATTTAATTCTACATTTTTTTACATTGGCAGCAGAACAATCAATTGAACTGGAGGAGGACATATGGAGCCCTGCATTCTCTCCTATTAAATCAAAATGCGAAGAAAACTCGGATGACTGTGATTTCGTATACATCTCAGACATCCTCCGAGCTTCCAATTACTTGCCTGAAGACACTGACATCTTCTTGTTACTCGAGAAACAGCAATATCTCAAGGGAAAGGACACCTCTAAAGTCTCGAGACTCCAAAGAAAGCTCATATTTGACACCATCACCGAAATTCTTGACCGAAACAGGCAATTGCCTCCATGGAAGGTCTTTTCCTTGTCAAATGCAAAGCCATCGTTGCAAAAACTTTGGTTTGAATTTCAGAGAATTCGAGAACGAGACACATCTGAGGACTATTTTGTGGTTATTTGTGGAGTCTTAAAAAGGGATCTCGCCGGAGACGCAATCAACGGTTGGCAAGATAGTCCGGTGGAGATGTCCGAAGCAGTGTTGGACATCGAACGGCTGATATTCAAGGATTTGGTTGGGGAAACTATCCGAGATCTTGCTGCATTTGCTGGCAAAAGCACAGTGTCGGCGCCTTGTAGGAAGTTGGTTTTCTGAATCACAAAATTTCGCGCGCTCTCTCTCTCTCTCTCTCCTTGTTCTTTCTTTTTGGTTTTTAGTATTATGCCCACTTTTTTTTTTTTAAAGATAATGGGAAAGCTAATTTTAATTTCTAACGGTCACTTTTGCAATCTGTAAAACAAAAAGCCGAAAAGGGCATTGGGAAAATCCCTCTTTCTGCGAAGTGCATGTGTGAGCTTGGTGGCAGAAATCATGGGCTGTCATGTGATTAATTAATTAAAGTATTTGGGAAACAGAGAAAAGTGAACATGAAAAAAGGCATGTCTTTTAGGAATAGAGCTAAAGTGAATTGGTTTATTCGTGTGATTTTGTCTCTAAGTCATAGTACCATGATGATTTTGTTAGGTAAATTTTAGCTTAATTGGCTCTGAAAATGATGGTCACACCTGGGTATCCCAAGTCTTTGCCACGCTAGTAGCTCCAAGGTCACATCATAATTTTTTTAGGTTACACTTAAATCAAGAGTTAAATTAAGTCAGTGTTGTTTTTCTTCTCTTTTTTGGGAAAATTTACCTAAATCAAAATTTCTTTTTTGGGTATTGTATTGTTAGTTAGTATTTTTTACGGTAAAATTATAATTATTTAAAAAAATGTCAGGATCGATCACAGACACCTGCAATCAATTATAAATTCTCAGTATTGATTTTAATATTTTATGTTCGATCATGGTTTTTAAAATTATAATTTATATTTTTGAAAAAATTGCAATTTAACCTTAACAAATTATAATTTTGACAGTATTGTTCCTTCTTTTTTTTAGCAAACGAGTAATTCTAATGAGTGATTTGATCCAAATTTATTTCAATCCTACTAATGGAAGAAACAAGAAGAAGCTGAGATTTATTTTTCCTGTAATTGAAGTCGGGTGGTGGGACTATTATTGTCCTCCTAGCTAGTGGTGACTCTGAAAGTTATGTGGGTCAAGATGTTTAGTTGAAAGACCTTTTGACCATGATCTTTCTCTCAGAATTGTGATCATTACCTTTCTGTGGGCAATCCGGACGGACTCTATATACAGCAACGCACTGCCATTGATATCATATCAATTATCAATGGTGGTCCTCCTTTAAACTCCAATATAGCTGTGATATCTCTTGTCATCNTAGTTGTTGAATCAGGATTGACCCAGAGTAGTACCTAAGAGGAAGTGTAATTAAACATTTTGGCTCGACCCTTCCTTCTCAAGCACTCTCGCCAAAGGCGGAGCCACTATGGGTCAGGACCGTGGTCCACTTTCAATTTTTTTTATACTACATATGGATCTGTATGTTTTAGACAATACTCCCAAATGATGTACCGTGTCCGCTCTATTACTCTCATACTTTAATAATGTTTTTTTTTTANTATTATCACAACCCACCCATTCTCAGAATGCGCCATGAAGTTTTGTAGGCAATAGTACAACATTACTCTTCTCATAGAACTAGAATTTATAAATAAGGTTTGGTTAGAAACATTTTTTTATTTATAGTCAGAATTTGAAAAACAATACTAAAAGGAAGACAACTCTAATCACTAATCACTAATCACCAAACTACCTTTGANATATTATGAGTTGTGATTGGTTTATATACATCTTTACTCATTTTTATTGTCTTAGAACTTTCTTCAATTGGCTTTAACTTTTTATATTTAAGATTTTTTAGTTTTAGGTTCTTAATTGGACAGTCATATCACTTGCAATTGTCTTTTATTTTCCAGCAAATAATCATCTCTATTTNTATTGTCTTAGAACTTTCTTCAATTGGCCTTAACTTTTTATATTTAAGATTTTTTAGTTTTAGGTTCTTAATTTGACAGTCATATCACTTGCAATTGTCTTTTATTTTCCAGCAAATAATCATCTCTATTTTTCTATGACTATGGCTTGTTATGTTTGATATGTTTCAGCTGAGTTTTAATGCAATAACTATGCTTTACTTAGCTTTTTTTTTTTTTAATGATTTTGTTGTTTTAATATGTAATATCACGTCGTACAATCGATTGAATATTAATAGTTAGTCTTTTTTTTAAAAAAAGGTTGCACTTAGACTCTTTTTTCTTTATTTGTGTATTTTCAAATTTTATTCTTTACTTTCTAACAATTTTTTTTTTTACAGGCGAATATAACATTGCAAAAGTAAATATATTATTTAATTTTTACCTAATAGAGAAAAAATTAATATNTAATCGATTGAATATTAATAGTTAGTCTCTTTTTTAAAAAAAGGTTGCACTTAGACTCTTTTTTCTTTATTTGTGTATTTCAAATTTTATTCTTTACTTTCTAACAATTTTTTTTTTACAGGCGAATATAACATTGCAAAAGTAAATATATTATTTAATTTTTACCTAATAGAGAAAAAATTAATATCATAATTAAGGTAACCATTCAAAAATAAATTTTTGGATCCGTCCGGATTGTCGCTTTGTTCTTTACGTGAACATTTTCTCTCGGAAAGAAAGAAATTTGACCTTTAAAGTGGGTGATTAATGAAAGGTTTTGGAGTGGAGAGGATTGTGACTTTTTTTTTTGGTGAGAAATTTGCAGAGTGGGTTTAGTGCCATTAGGCCACTGCTGACTTCAGATTGTGATCGAGTTGGATTGTTTGTGTGCAGTACAGGATCAATTCAGATTAAAACACATTTAAATTCGTTTATTTTCAACGTTTGTTGGACTCGATTTTAATCCTACGTTTGTTTATCTGTAATTTAATTCTACATTTTTTTACATTGGCAGCAGAACAATCAATTGAACTGGAGGAGGAGATATGGAGCCCTGCATTCTCTCCTATTAAATCAAAATGCGAAGAAAACTCGGATGACTGTGATTTCGTATACATCTCAGACATCCTCCGAGCTTCCAATTACTTGCCTGAAGACACTGACATCTTCTTGTTACTCGAGAAACAGCAATATCTCAAGGGAAAGGACACCTCTAAAGTCTCGAGACTCCAAAGAAAGCTCATATTTGACACCATCACCGAAATTCTTGACCGAAACAGGCAATTGCCTCCATGGAAGGTCTTTTCCTTGTCAAATGCAAAGCCATCGTTGCAAAAACTTTGGTTTGAATTTCAGAGAATTCGAGAACGAGACACATCTGAGGACTATTTTGTGGTTATTTGTGGAGTCTTAAAAAGGGATCTCGCCGGAGACGCAATCAACGGTTGGCAAGATAGTCCGGTGGAGATGTCCGAAGCAGTGTTGGACATCGAACGGCTGATATTCAAGGATTTGGTTGGGGAAACTATCCGAGATCTTGCTGCATTTGCTGGCAAAAGCACAGTGTCGGCGCCTTGTAGGAAGTTGGTTTTCTGAATCACAAAATTTCGCGCGCTCTCTCTCTCTCTCTCTCCTTGTTCTTTCTTTTTGGTTTTTAGTATTATGGCCACTTTTTTTTTTTTAAAGATAATGGGAAAGCTAATTTTAATTTCTAACGGTCACTTTTGCAATCTGTAAAACAAAAAGCCGAAAAGGGCATTGGGAAAATCCCTCTTTCTGCGAAGTGCATGTGTGAGCTTGGTGGCAGAAATCATGGGCTGTCATGTGATTAATTAATTAAAGTATTTGGGAAACAGAGAAAAGTGAACATGAAAAAAGGCATGTCTTTTAGGAATAGAGCTAAAGTGAATTGGTTTATTCGTGTGATTTTGTCTCTAAGTCATAGTACCATGATGATTTTGTTAGGTAAATTTTAGCTTAATTGGCTCTGAAAATGATGGTCACACCTGGGTATCCCAAGTCTTTGCCACGCTAGTAGCTCCAAGGTCACATCATAATTTTTTTAGGTTACACTTAAATCAAGAGTTAAATTAAGTCAGTGTTGTTTTTCTTCTCTTTTTTGGGAAAATTTACCTAAATCAATTTTTTTTTTTTGGGTATTGTATTGTTAGTTATTATTTTTTACGGTAAAATTATAATTATTTAAAAAAATGTCAGGATCGATCACAGACACCTGTAATCAATTATAAATTCTCGGTATTGATTTTAATATTTTATGTTCGATCATAGTTTTTAAAATTATAATTTATATTTTAAAAAAAATTATAATTTAACCTTAAAAAATTATAATTTTGAGAGTATTGTTCCTTCTGTTTTTTTAGCAAACGAGTAATTCTAATGAGTGATTTGATCCAAATTTATTTCAATCCTACTCATGGAAGAAACAAGAAGAAGCTGAGATTTATTTTTCCTGTAATTGAAGTCGGGTGGTACTATTATTGTCCTCCTAGCTAGTGGTGACTCTGAAAGTTATGTGGGTCAAGATGTTTAGTTGAAAGACCTTTTGACCATGATCTTTCTCTCAGAATTGTGATCATTACCTTTCTGTGGGCAATCCGGACGGACTCTATATACAGCAACGCACTGCCATTGATATCATATCAATTATCAATGGTGGTCCTTTAAACTCCAATATAGCTGTGATATCTCTTGTCATCTAACTTAAGAATTTTATTATCACAACCCACCCATTCTCAGAATGTGCCATGAAGTTTTGTAGGCAATAGTACAACATTACTCTTCTCATAGAACTAGAATTTATAAATAAGGTTTGGTTAGAAACATTTTTTTATTTATAGTCAGAATTTGAAAAACAATACTAAAAGGAAGACAACTCTAATCACTAATCACCAAACTACCTTTGACCTAGTCTCTTCCAGCCTACTCTTTGTATGCTATTGAAACATACTTATTCCATTTGACCCACACTAGGCCATTGTCACATGGTATTTTATTTCGTGTTTGCAGCCCCCACCCACCCCATCCCAACCCTATGCCCATTGACAAGAAAGTGGCAGGACGAAGGTCATCTTTGGCTGGAACTGGGGGAAGAAAGTGGCAGACTGAAGGTCATCTTTGGCTTGAAATGGGGCTAACTACAGTTGTCTTCAAACTAGACCACATAACTAGCCATTTTGGTAACCACGTTGGTGCAGGACCTACACTATCAACTTCAAGATTGCCAAGTTTTAGGGCCACCATGTGAGCAAAATACTTGGAGGTGGACAAACCTAGCACTTTTCTTAGTTCCATATATAACACTGCCTAAGGAAGAATTTAACAAGTATTCGGCACAATGCTCTGCTTCAAAGGGTGTGGGCGAGGACGAGTTTCAATCCATCGCCCGCATTCATTTTTGCACGAATTTATACGAATAGTGTCATATACATCTATCGTCTTATACATATGATTCATTTCTGGTCTAAACAAAACAAATTTAAACAAATATCCATTTTTTTCCACTCCGATCTACCACCATTTTTACTTGCTCACCTGCTCATGATCTAAAAGCGATTGTAATATTACTTTCTCTGTCTGTTTGCTCTTACGCTTTAGTTTAGATTGTAATATTATTGATTTGATTGTAATCAACATTGGATTGAACTTCANTACCTAATAGAGAAAAAATTAATATCATAATTAAGGTAACCATTCAAAAATAAATTTTTGGATCCGTCCGGATTGTCGCTTTGTTCTTTACGTGAACATTTTCTCTCGGAAAGAAAGAAATTTGACCTTTAAAGTGGGTGATTAATGAAAGGTTTTGGAGTGNGAAGCATGCATTTAAGGGAGCCCACCAAATAAACCTTTTAAGCCTTCTTTTAGTCTAGAGTTGCTGGGGGTTACCAATTTAAGAACTACGACTTTGACCAACGGGCATACCTGATTAAATTGATGGATTATTTATTTATTTTTTAATAATTAAGAGTGGTTGAACTAATTTGTCTACACTATAATTAAATTCTTCAAATTATTTATTTTTTGAAGGCCAATCATTAAATNCGGAGAGGATTGTGACTTTTTTTTTTGGTGAGAAATTTGCAGAGTGGGTTTAGTGAAGTTTGAACTCACGACCTATCGTTCTAATGGTGGACTGCAGGTGCCATTAGGCCACTGCTGACTTCAGATTGTGATCGAGTTGGATTGTTTGTGTGCAGTACAGGATCAATTCAGATTAAAACACATTNTGGAGAGGATTGTGACTTTTTTTTTTGGTGAGAAATTTGCAGAGTGGGTTTAGTGCCATTAGGCCACTGCTGACTTCAGATTGTGATCGAGTTGGATTGTTTGTGTGCANAAATTGGACATCGTAACTTACCATCCATATATTTCAAACCCTTTGGACATTTTTGATGTGACTAATGCTATGCACACCACCTATTGTGCACTACCTTATGTACACCATTTAACGTGAAACAATCACAATTACTAAATTTTATCGTACCTACTAATTTAATAGTATATGTTGAGATGGTGCACAAAAAATGATATGAAAAAGTGGTGTGTGTATTATTATTATTTTTATGTAATGATTGCAATCCTCACACCTACCCTTCACTTCACAGATACAGATCTCGATGAGTATTATTTTTTTTCCTTAATTTTTTCATATAGCAGGTGTTTAAGTAGAGACTCTATCAGAATCCATGGAAGTAATATATAGGTGAGAAAAAATCAAAGAAATATAATAAAAAGGATGTGGATCCCACTTTTTTAGACCAAATTTCATTATCTTCGTACTAAATATTCATTGTTCACATTAAATTTTCACTTATTTTCTTTTTTCCTCCCAATCAAACTGACTTAATTTCCTATACAATACCAACCTTTAAACCAAATAGTTCCTCTTATTTGAGAAGGGAAACAACTTCTTTAATTGCAAAGGTAAGACTGTATATATCTAACTTTCTTCAATCTCCGCAATAACAAAAGTCTCGTGCACTGAATATGCACTTTATAAAAATTTATATGATATTTTTTTTTCAATGATGAAGAGTGGCGTTGATTGGTCTCATGTGTTNCCCCGCATTCATTTTTGCACGAATTTATACGAATAGTGTCATATACATCTATCGTCTTATACATATGATTCATTTTTGGTCTAAACAAAACAAATTTAAACAAATATCCATTTTTTTCCACTCCGATCCACCACCATTTTTACTTGCTCACCTGCTCATGATCTAAAAGCGATTGTAATATTACTTNGACTCAATGCCCCATATTATTCATTCCATACCAGAGAAAGCTAAATTAAGGTGTGGTTTTTCAATAGATGAAAGGGGTGAGGACAAAGGAGTTGGTGAGATACTTCTAACCACGTACGTTACTCCTAAAGGTCGCCTAGATACAAAATATATACTTGATTTAAAATCTAGCAAAATTAGACTAAAAATAATTTTATTTTTTAGAAAATTTATACAATACTTATTTTCATTCAATATCAAATGAAAGAGTAAATTCTATGTCTAACGAATTATAACACAATTAATCATATCATTTTCGAGTTCGTCTTATGCGTGTTAATGAGTAAAGTCGACACCTCCCTCTCTNAAAGCATGCATTTAAGGGAGCCCACCAAATAAACCAAATACCTGATTAAATTGATGGATTATTTATTTATTTTTTAATAGTTAAGAGTGGTTGAACTAATTTATCTACACTATAATTAAATTCTTCAAATTATTTATTTTTTGAAGGCCAATCATTAAATCTTATCAATAAAGATTTTGACATTATCTCTCTAAATGAGCAATATAGTGAATTTGTATATATTTTGTAACTTACCATCCATATATTTCAAACCCTTTGGACATTTTTGATGTGACTAACGCTATGCACACCACCTATTGTGCACTACCTTATGTACACCATTTAACGTGAAACAATCACAATTACTAAATTTTATCGTACCTACTAATTTAATAGTATATGTTGAGATGGTGCACAAAAAATGATATGAAAAGGTGGTGTGTGTATTATTATTGTTTTTATGTAATGATTGCAATCCTCACATCTACCCTTCACTTCACAGATACAGATCTCAATACACTATTTTTTTTTTCCTTAATTTTTTCATATAACAGGTGTTTAAGTAGAGACTCTATCAAAATCCATCGAAGTAATACATAGGTGAGAAAAAATCAAAGAAATATACTAAAAAGGATGTGGATCCCACTTTTTTAGACCAAATTTCATTATCTTCATACTAAATATTCATTGTTCACATTAAATCTTCACTTATTTTCTTTTTTCCTCCCAATCAAACTGACTTAATTTCCTATACAATACCAACCTTTAAACCAAATAGTTTCTCTTATTTGAGAAGGGAAACAACTTCTTTAATTGCAAAGGTAAGACTGTATATATCTAACTTTCTTCAATCTCCGCAATAACAAAAGTCTCGTGCACTGAATATGCACTTTATAAAAATTTATATGATATTTTTTTTTCAATGATGAAGAGTGGCGTTGATTGGTCTCATGTGTTTATGCTTTTTCTCGTTCCAGTTTGGAAGCTTTGGATCACTCAATGCCCCATATTATTCATTCCATACCAGAGAAAGCTAAATTAAGGTGTGGTTTTTCAATAGATGAAAGGGGCGAGAACAAAGGAGTTGGTGAGATACTTCTAACCACACACGTTACTCCTAAAGGTCGCCTAGATACAAAATATATACTTGATTTAAAATCTAGCAAAATTAGACTAAAAATAATTTTATTTTTTAGAAAATTTATACAATACTTATTTTCATTCAATATCAAATGAAAGAGTAAATTCTATGTCTAACGAATTATAACACAATTAATCATATCATTTTCGAGTTCGTCTTATGCGTGTTAATGAGTAAAGTCGACACCTCCCTCTCTCTCTCTCCCACACACACAGAGCTTGCCATGGTTGATGTTTCTGCCCACCTAACCCTATGGTTTCCTTTCCCTCCATTCTTGATTTCATTACTTTCTTCCTCCCTTTCCAAGCAGAAATCATCCACAAAAAAAAAAAAAAAAACAAATTGAAACAAAGAGTTTCTCCAAGAAGGCAAGTATGGGGTCCTTGTCACCCCAGAAGGGCACAAGCTTAGCAATGTATGCATTGGAGAGGTGGATGGTGCTCTGTCATGGGCACATGCGACTGCTCTGTACTCTTTTAACTAGTTGAATGTGCCAACTTTTTTTCTGGAGGGTTTAAATTTAAACCTAGTGACCTTACCTAAATGTAGATGTGCTTTAATGGAAATGCTACTTGTACCTTATTTGATGATATAATAGATCATAACTATTAAATTAATAATAAATTTTAACTAATGTTAGAATTTATTGTCAATCTAATGACAGAAAAAATCTTCAAATAAAATTATTTAATAAGATCAACCCTTGTCGTCGTTGTCTCCTAATTTAGTCCTTTGCCAGATGGTGACTTGACCAGCTAATTAAGTTCATTATTAGCCATGGTCCTTTTGTCTTGAGCTCACAGACAATAATTGGGCGTCAGGCTTTGGTTCCCATGAGAAGGGAAAGACTAAAGTACTAAAAAGAAATAAATTTTTATATCAAACCGGGGGTTATGACTCAATCCCGTGTGATTACGACTTTATTTCTTTGAAATTGATCCTAGGAACAATTCAAATTTTTTTGAGTCGTAACTTAATCTTTATTTACACCCACTAAATCAAGTGATTGATAGCTGCTAGGTCTTCCCGGGTCTTCGGCCCAAGCTGTATGAGGCCGAAATTCATCTCAGGACCAAATTGGTTATTAGACGGTGAAAATTGTAATAAGTTTACCCCAAGAAGTTGTTCGTGTAATGTAATCGCCTTTTGTAGAATTATTGTGTGGAGAACCTTTAAGCCCAATAAAAAAGTCCGGCCCAATTTATATGAACGTTGTTACGCCCAATTGTTCGTTAAAAAGCGTGTCCAAATGCTTAGTCCTCAACTCACTGGATCTTGAGCATCAACTATTTTTGAGAAGGCCCAAGACGAAGCGAAACCCAAAAGAAGAGAACGCTCTCTCTCTTTCTCTCTCTCTCTCTCTCTGTGGTTCCAAACACTACTCGAGTTTTCTTGGAGTTAACGAGTGTTTTCTTGACTATGCTATTGTCTATTAACTGTTTGTTGTTTTCACGACAAATGTATGCGTATGTATATATGTACAGTATATAATCTATCCGTTGATTTCACATCACATTGGTGAAAATTGCATGTCCCGTTTGAATTTGTTGTTCTTCTGCCTAAGTTATTGAATTATGCACAATCTCATTCTCTGTCTTCATGTGTTGGATGAATATTGCTATGGCGTTTTGCTAACTTTCTTTTTAGAATGTTTCCTAATCAATGCATTAGGCCTATTACTTCCTCAAGTTTCAGAGTTGTTAACTTTATTCTTGTGAATGGTTTTCCTCATTATCCCTATGGAGAAAAAGAGTCATGTATCGTCAAGCCTTTCATGTAGTTCTTCTGCGTGTTTAAGTTAAAATGCATTCCACTATGCCCCCTCTTTCTGTTTGATAACATTCCCCCTAAATTCCAAATAGTTCTTTCCAAACCCCCATTATTTGACTCAAACTCAGGATGTAGACTAACCCTGAAACCAAAAAATAAGGACCTCTCAATATGCCAAAAACTCATGGCAGCTGGAGGGTGTCAAATAGAGCCTTTTATACAATCAAGACACTATGTGATATGGAAGCATATTAATCTCATTTTTTCATTCAATCATGTGTAGTATTTTGTTCTTTTTTTGGGGGTGGAGGTGGAGGTGGGGGTGAGGGCATCTCCCAGCCTAACACTTGTTAGCTGAACCAAAACTTTATAATCGTTTCACACGTGTTATTTTAGCTCCTGATAAAAGTGGTCTGGTATTGGTATGCATTAGTCATTGTCTCATTTGGCTTTGCTAAGATCTATGGCCAGATAGCAGCCCACAAAGCAACCCACATCTAGGGAGGTGGAAGCTACCTTCCATGGACATCCTTGTTGGGACGAGATTGCTAGGCTCAGGAGAAAGTTTACGAAGATGATATTAATTTGACCACTTTTAAATTATATTTTAATTCTTAACTTCTCTTAGGAGTTTTTTCCTTTTGATATATTGTAATCAGCATGCATTTTCTTAGTTTTATTACATTCTGGATTGCTGTAAAAAAAAGATGAATTAGTTCCGAATGCAATTGCATATTAGTTGTATGATGCAAACACATATGTTATGCCTTTTAAGTGCTTATTTTAAGATGCTTGTTACCTTACAATTTTTTCCTTGCAGTCTGTGTAGTGTCTACCTTTACTTTCCTTTTCAAATTTCAGGCTATTAAGACCCAAACATGGTCTGCTTATTAAAATTTCTCCGCCAAATATAGTCTTCGCACTCGCCCTGTTGTCTCACATTTGGACACCTACCAAATTTTGAACACTATAGGAAGGAGAATTAGCTGAGTTTTCTTATGGACCAAAGTGGCTTGGGTCAGTCTGTCACTGTCTCGATGAGACAGAAAAGACAGCACAATTATATATTAGCTTGGTCACTTGTAACCAAATGAAAGTGGGAGCAGTCTAGGTCCACCTTTGCTGCCCTCAAACCCTACAATGATTTCAGTCACAAGTACTTTTTCAAACAAGGGAGCAAATTGGCTTGGCCATTAAGGTTGAATTAGTGAGTAGAGTAGTAGTCATCTTAGTGCAACACTCATCAAAGATTCCAAAGAAACCCCTAGGGAAACTACTCAACTCCAACTTTATGCAAGACCAATATTGTGCTTACAAAAATCTTAACTCGGTTGGTGAAACTCAAATTTTAGTTTCGAACTTTCTCATTCTGCTGGAGCAACCAAGTCTACTGAAGTTTCATTCGATAGTTGCCACAATGATTATCAGTCTCACTGGGGACCTGGAGCTCATTGAGTTGACACTGTAATCTCATCTGCTTTGTATAAGCTGCTAATTGCATCAAAATCTGTGATCATCTATAATAAGAGGATATCACTAATACAAAACCGGGTTCTGGTCTTAAGTATGCTGAAGTTTCTTTTGGCATCATCAGTTAGTATCATCTGTAGATTACACACTCGTTAGTTGGCAAAATAGTCTGTAACATACAGTCACAATCTGTCAGCAATTTTATCTATACAAAGCAAGTGTGCTTCAATTTTCAACAGGATTTTTTAGAGATCCGTTTATGTTACCTGCTGACCTCTCATTACCAGTTCTGAGTTCTTGTGCAAAATAGAGAATTGAATGATTACTTCAAAGCCCTGTTTAAGATGATGATATTTATAGCCTGAATATCAATCCATATTCTTCTGACATTTGAGAAAATTGAAAGAGCAGATCAATGTTTATTGATTTTTTTTTTTTTTGAATTTTGTAACTTTTAATGCTTGATTTCCTTTGAATTGATTATCCACGCACTGTGTGGTTGCGAACAGATGATCCGGGGCTTAGAAGCCAATTTTGTTTATCAATGGCTCACAAATTCAATAACTTTCATAGATGGAGACTCATACCATGGAAATTCTAAACAGTGATCGCAAAATATAAAAATCATCTATACACTGGCGCAAAGGATATAGCTGATGTGTAGTCATCAAGAGAGAAGTAAGTGATAGAATATCCTCCTTCCTGCCCTTCTGGATTAGCTGGTGCAAATTTTGTTGTGCTTTTGCTTTATTTTGCCTGCATGAATCATATACAAATAATGAACATTAGAAATTCGGAATGACAGCACTTTCCTATTTTACATTTTAAGATACTATATCATTTCTATGTTCATCCTTGCCAAGCTATGAGGTACTGAAGAGTTTTTCAAGGAAACATTAGTACTCAATGAAGGGTGTGGAAAATAATTACATAATTTGTAGCATGGCTGCTGAAAAGCTGGATCATCAATTGGTGCTGGAGATTCCTGACCGAATATCATCTGGCAGCTCATATCATCGAAATCTGCAAATCAGAAGGTGCTTTTAAGTTTTAACTACATAAACTGTGCATTTCACATGGTTAACTTTGATAAGTCGTAGAATTTGGATTACTGCTAAACAGATGGTTCACTCTAGTGATTATGCGTGTTTTGAAAACACCTTGGCAAGTCATGGTTCACTCTAGTATTTATGCGTGTTTTGACAACACGTTGGCAAGTCTCAACTGAAGTGCTTTGAATAAGCAGCATTTGACGTTGGTGGTTCCACTATACCAGCATGGGGTAGTCCATTGAAGGAAGATTGAGATCACTAACAAATGAAGCAACCTGATCTCTCACCAATTAATAGTGGACTAATGCAGAACCGAACATGAGATTTCAAATGCCCGATTAATGGCCATAATACCAGGTTTATTCTTATTGAGTTGAAATATGCAAACAAAGTTACTTTATTATCCTGGGTGCTTTAATTTTCATTTGAGGTTTGATGGATCTACTTACAGTGTTGCTCCCTTAGTGGCTTGTGGATGGAGCCCTCCATTGAGTTGATGGGCCAGCCTCCATATCCTAGTGCAGGTACTGTTACTCATTCATGTATTGCTTTCTTTTCTCTCGGTCTTTTAATTCGTTCAGGTTCAATACATTTGAGGGCAAATTTAGGGGTGTTTTGGTTGCAATGATTACTCTTCCTCCTAAAAAATTATAAAGTGCATATTGTAGATTTTTTTCCCTATTATGAGATATGCCCAGTAATTAGTTTGTTTTTTAGATATTGAAAATGATTTGCAACTCGATCAAACGAATGCGATGCACCAAGATCACCCATAAATAAAGTGATGTTTTGATCTTATTATGGAATCTTAGGCCATGACATAGAAAAACTGAATGGCAATAATTTGGTGAATTAGAAAATGGACTAGTTTGCATGCTTGAAGCCTCTATAAGCTAACAGAAGCTATCACAGGATACTTACTAGGGACCATGTTAACTGGTATTCCAAGGGAGTCCTTAATGAAAACTTGGGATGGCATCTTACAGAGGTTGGCGCACAGTCCCACACAATTAGTTTCCTCTAAGAACCTGAAAAATATATAGATACAATGTAAGATGGTGATTTTGAGGGTGCTAATGACGATGGTATTGTGTCAACATTGATGATGATTGAGATGACTGTCATGATGGAAATAGAGAAGAAGCACAATCATTGGAGCAGATTGTTTTAGGCAAATTGCCTTGAATTAGGTTAGGTGGGTTCCCATTGCCTTTAAAGGTGTCATTTTTATAGAAGAGAAATGCAAAAGGTACCTGCATTTCTTTATGTGGACGACATTCTTCTCCCTTCCTCCGTTGAACTCCGACTCTCTCACCTTGTATTCAGAATAATATATTACTTTCAGTGGATTAAAAATTCACCAAAGTTTCTCTAAACGCACAAAATTGTGATTCTTTGTTGTGGAATCTGCTTTTGTACTTGACCATCACAAAAATGTTGTACCTGTTGATAAATCAAGTACATAGGCCACTAGTATGCCTAGTTGTGAAGTTCAAGAATGTGGTATGCCACGTAAACTCATATATCAATTGCTTGTCTATGATCTATGTTTTCTTCTTTTTTTACCCAATATATGCTTTTAATCTCGCCCTTCCACTACAGCTCAGATTCTTGTTTGTACTCAAACTGCCAACTGATTCAGGGTGAGGCTGCCATGGACTAGCAAGAGTTTCGTGATCAATGTATTGACTGTGATAGTAGGGTAGGACGTTTGCTGGTTGGGGGATTTTTAACAATACCGAAAACTACTTTTGATATTGTGCCGAACATTATAATCAGTATGGTCAATTGGTAAAAAAAGTGAAGCTACAACTCAAAATTGAGCTGAGTTATGATCGATTCAACAACTTGGGCTCGAGCCCGAAATTTTTATTTTAATCTCATTAAGTCGTGACTTATTTAACATTTTCCAATATGGTACGGAGTCATTACCATAGATTTGTTCCTTCTATATTTTAATTTTTTTTTTCCTGAACAGAAGAGTATGGAGGTTGTTTGATGCTTGCATCTCTTACCTCGCAGGGGCCAACAAGCCAAGAGAAAAAGACAGTAGTGAAAGCGGCAAAATATTCCCTTGCAAGCTTAGATTCTGGTAGTATCATACGGATCTGCATTTGGAACCACAACGTCAATACAAATTCTTTAGTTAGAAGCATTGGCAAAAATTTTGTGTGTAATTTTAATAAGATATTAGAGATGGCGGGTCTTGACGTAATAATAAGATTGTTCTATTATGACCTAGAGATCACGAGTTTAAGTCACGAAAATAGTCTATCTGCTCTTCAAGTATACGTCCTTTTTATTTTTTTTTATGTGAGAGAGAGAGGGAGAGAATTAAATATCCCAAGCCCATGCAAGCTTGCAAAAGGCAATTCAAAAGAGAAGGAAAAGAATGTAATAAAAATTAAAATATCTTGACGACAAAAACATAGTTAAACATAGCTGCACATCACGGAGGACATAGATGGCTATGTGAACAGAGAGGCGATGCCACATCTTATGGATATTGATAACGAATAGAACAGCTTTGTCGCTTGATATAATTACCTTACAAAATTCATCTGTGGTGATAATAATAATAATAAATAAAGACGATGATTATGGTGAAAGAGGATGAAGAAGAAGAAAGAACAACTTGCCAAATAGAGGATAGGCTTAGGAAAGGCTTTATCAAGAGCTTCAATGATAATTTTTTGTTGTTGGGTTGGATTGAAGTTCCGTGATGCCACTTTTGCTGCCTCCACCAAACCATCGTATCCACCCTTATTGTTTCTCAACCCTATATGCATATAAACATATACACACGTAAATATTTTCCGATTTGGTTCGATACTTCCAAAACTCAAAACACAAAAGCAGTACATAAAATCAACCTGATGCAGCTTGGACGTTGTGGGAGAGATGATTGATCGCTAGACGATCGAACCAATTGTCATTATAAACAGTTTTTGAGCTTGTCAAGCCCTCGACGTTCTTGGTCGGCCTCGTCAGAACGGCGAGAACATGATGATGAGATACTTTCGGCTTGTGCATGTGCTTCCGGCGAGCCCCGGTGGCCGGGAAAGGGCTTTGGGGTCGCAAAAGATGATTTGCCTCCATAGGAGAAAGACAGGGGGAGAGAGACAGTAAGTCAGAAATTTTCTTAAAAAATAGAGTTGGGATGAAACAACAAAAGAGCATTTTTATAGAAGCTGGCTCATGTTGATGCTTATACATGTTGGTATCTTCTATGCATAACTACTAGCATCATTTGTGGTCTTTCCAAAGATGCCTTTTGGCTGTAGTGTGTGTCTGTAGAAGACAACAATAAGAATAAGCACCGGCCAAGAGTGGTTTGTCTTGTATTTTGAGTCATATTATTTTTGAGTTTATATTAAATATGTATCTATCTAAATCCAATCTATTAATTCATTATGTTAGATCTTTAAAAATTTATCTTGTCCTATTTGTATTAATCCGTATAACTCATAAATAAAAAATCTAAGATTAAAATCACATTTCGTCTCAACCAAATCCACCACTAATAATTTTTTCATACTAAAAATTCAACAAGTCTATATAATAGCAATTACAACTAAGAACTGCGCTAGTTTTATAATAATTCATCTCAATCTTGATAAAAAAAATATATATATATATATAAATTAAATATTTTATTCATATATACTAGTTAAACGTGTTTATCATGTCAAATTCAAATAATTTATATTTAATAAAAACCTAATAATAAGTTACTATTCATGTTAGCAAATTTATGTTGTTTTTTAAATTGGGTAGAGAACTAGTTAATCTTAATCTTATAATTTTATATCAAGTTCTTGGCGTGTTAATATATTGTGCTTAAAATTGAACCGCCCAATCAATAAAGTTTGGATCTATTTAGAAAAGGAGAGGTCAAGGTAATATTATTCCCATGTCCTACCTTACTAGCAAACTGATAATAGCGTCAAAAATGATAGCGGGTAAGACCATAATATTGATTCTGGGCTTAAGTGTAATTTCTAAAACCTAAAGGGATGTAAGTTATTTTTAGTAAACCCAAAGAAAGTCTCTCTCTCTCTCTCTGGTTATGATCTCAACCCTGTCCTTCATTAATGGATAATTTACTGTGCTTACTGGCTCATAACATCAACATCCACACCTCGTTTTACTTACCCAAAAAAAAAAAAATCAACATTAACACATTTACCCAAGAAAATCACATCAGCTTCTAATGCTATAATCTAAATGTACCAAATCGATATGACATAAAGTGACAAAGTGAAAATTTTATCTATAAAAAATTATATGTGTCTGTCGTATCAATCAACCTATGCTATTTTCTGCAGACCAGGCCCAGCCCGTGTCATATAACCTCATCTTTATTCATGACCAATCCAATACCAGCCCAGAACCTAATCAAAAAGTTTCGGTTCACTCTCAAAGGCCTTAGTGGCCTGAATGGCTGAACGTCTGAACAGGCCCATGGACACCTTGGCCCATACGAAACCCAAGGGCGGCTCAACAGTATTATANTCACCAATTAATAGTGGACTAATGCAGAACCGAACATGAGATTTCAAATGCCCGATTAATGGCCATAATACCAGGTTTAGTCTTATTGTGTTGAAATATGCAAACAAAGTTACTTTATTATCCTGGGTGCTTTAATTTTCATTTGAGGTTTGATGGATCTACTTACAGTGTTGCTCCCTTAGTGGCTTGTGGATGGAGCCCTCCATTGAGTTGATGGGCCAGCCTCCATATCCTAGTGCAGGTACTGTTACTCATTCATGTATTGTTTTCTTTTCTCTCGGTCTTTTAATTCGTTCAGGTTCAATACATTTGAGGGCAAATTTAGGGGTGTTTTGGTTGCAATGATTACTCTTCCTCCTAAAAAATTATAAAGTGCATAGATTCTTTTCCCTATTATGAGATATGCCCAGTAATTAGTTTGTTTTTTAGATATTGGAAATGATTTGCAACTCGATCAAACGAATGCAATGCACCAAGATCACCCATAAATAAAGTGATGTTTTGATCTTATTATGGAATCTTAGGCCATGACATAGAAAAACTGAATGGCNATGCACCAAGATCACCCATAAATAAAGTGATGTTTTGATCTTATTATGGAATCTTAGGCCATGACATAGAAAAACTGAATGGCAATAATTTGGTGAATTAGAAAATGGACTAGTTTGCATGCTTGAAGCCTCTATAAGCTAACAGAAGCTATCACAGGATACTTACTAGGGACCATGTTAACTGGTATTCCAAGGGAGTCCTTAATGAAAACTTGGGATGGCATCTTACAGAGGTTGGCGCACAGTCCCACACAATTAGTTTCCTCTAAGAACCTGAAAAATATATAGATACAATATAAGAGGGTGATTTTGAGGGTGCTAATGACGATGGTATTGTGTCAACATTGATGATGATTGAGATGACTGTCATGATGGAAATAGAGAAGAAGCACAATCATTGGAGCAGATTGTTTTAGGCAAATTGCCTTGAATTAGGTTAGGTGGGTTCCCATTGCCTTTAAAGGTGTCATTTTTATAGAAGAGAAATGCAAAAGGTACCTGCATTTCTTTATGTGGACGACATTCTTCTCCCTTCCTCCGTTGAACTCCGACTCTCTCACCTTGTATTCAGAATAATATATTACTTTCAGTGGATTAAAAATTCACCAAAGTTTCTCTAAACGCACAAAATTGTGATTCTTTGTTGTGGAATCTGCTTTTGTACTTGACCATCACAAAAATGTTGTACCTGTTGATAAATCAAGTACATAGGCCACTAGTATGCCTAGTTGTGAAGTTCAAGAATGTGGTATGCCACGTAAACTCATATATCAATTGCTTGTCTATGATCTATGTTTTCTTCTTTTTTTACCCAATATATGCTTTTAATCTCGCCCTTCCACTACAGCTCAGATTCTTGTTTGTACTCAAACTGCCAACTGATTCAGGGTGAGGCTGCCATGGACTAGCAAGAGTTTCGTGATCAATGTATTGACTGTGATAGTAGGGTAGGACCTTTGCTGGTCGGGGGATTTTTAACAATACCGAAAACTACTTTTGATATTGTGCCGAACATTATAATCAGTATGGTCAATTGGTAAAAAAAGTGAAGCTACAACTCAAAATTGAGCTGAGTTATGATCGATTCAACAACTTGGGCTCGAGCCCGAAATTTTTATTTTAATCTCATTAAGTCGTGACTTATTTAACATTTTCCAATATGGTACGGAGTCATTACCATAGATTTGTTCCTTCTATATTTTAATTTTTTTTTTCCTGAACAGAAGAGTATGGAGGTTGTTTGATGCTTGCATCTCTTACCTCGCAGGGGCCAACAAGCCAAGAGAAAAAGACAGTAGTGAAAGCGGCAAAATATTCCCTTGCAAGCTTAGATTCTGGTAGTATCATACGGATCTGCATTTGGAACCACAACGTCAATACAAATTCTTTAGTTAGAAGCATTGGCAAAAATTTTGTGTGTAATTTTAATAAGATATTAGAGATGGCGGGTCTTGACGTAATAATAAGATTGTTCTATTATGACCTAGAGATCACGAGTTTGAGTCACGGAAATAGTCTATCTGCTCTTCAAGTATACGTCCTTTTTATTTTTTTTTATGTGAGAGAGAGAGGGAGAGAATTAAATATCCCAAGCCCATGCAAGCTTGCAAAAGNCGGCTTGTGCATGTGCTTCCGGCGAGCCCCGGTGGCCGGGAAAGGGCTTTGGGGTCGCAAAAGATGATTTGCCTCCATAGGAGAAAGACAGGGGGAGAGAGACAGTAAGTCAGAAATTTTCTTAAAAAATAGAGTTGGGATGAAACAACAAAAGAGCATTTTTATAGAAGCTGGCTCATGTTGATGCTTATACATGTTGGTATCTTCTATGCATAACTACTAGCATCATTTGTGGTCTTTCCAAAGATGCCTTTTGGCTGTAGTGTGTGTCTGTAGAAGACAACAATAAGAATAAGCACCGGCCAAGAGTGGTTTGTCTTGTATTTTGAGTCATATTATTTTTGAGTTTATATTAAATATGTATCTATCTAAATCCAATCTATTAATTCATTATGTTAGATCTTTAAAAATTTATCTTGTCCTATTTGTATTAATCCGTATAACTCATAAATAAAAAATCTAAGATTAAAATCACATTTCGTCTCAACCAAATCCACCACTAATAATTTTTTCATACTAAAAATTCAACAAGTCTATATAATAGCAATTACAACTAAGAACTGCGCTAGTTTTATAATAATTCATCTCAATCTTGATAAAAAAAATATATATATATATATAAATTAAATATTTTATTCATATATACTAGTTAAACGTGTTTATCATGTCAAATTCAAATAATTTATATTTAATAAAAACCTAATAATAAGTTACTATTCATGTTAGCAAATTTATGTTGTTTTTTAAATTGGGTAGAGAACTAGTTAATCTTAATCTTATAATTTTATATCAAGTTCTTGGCGTGTTAATATATTGTGCTTAAAATTGAACCGCCCAATCAATAAAGTTTGGATCTATTTAGAAAAGGAGAGGTCAAGGTAATATTATTCCCATGTCCTACCTTACTAGCAAACAAACTGATAATAGAGTCAAAAATGATAGCGGGTAAGACCATAATATTGATTCTGGGCTTAAATGTAATTTCTAAAACCTAAAGGGATGTAAGTAATTTTTAGTAAACCCAAAGAAAATCTCTCTCTCTCTCTCTCTCTGGTTATGATCTCAACCCTGTCCTTCATGAATATATTATTTTCTGTGCTTACTGGCTCATAACATCAACATCCACACCTCTTTTTACTTACCCAAAAAAAAAAAAAAAAAAAAAAACAGCATTAACACATTTACCCAAGAAAATCACATCAGCTTCTAATGCTATAATCTAAATGTCCCAAATCGACATGACATAAAGTGACAAAGTGAAAATTTTATCTATAAAAAATTATATGTGTCTGTCGTATCAATCAACCTATGCTATTTTCTGCAGACCAGGCCCAGCCCGTGTCATATAACCTCATCTTTATTCACGACCAATCCAATACCAGCCCAGAACCTAATCAAAAAGTTTCGGTTCAGTCTCAAAGGCCTTAGTGGCCTGAATGGCTGAACGTCTGAACAGGCCCATGGACACCTTGGCCCATACGAAACCCAAGGGCGGCTCAACAGTATTATAAAAAAAAAATTGGGTTTTTTTTGTTGTCATTATAATTTTTAGATTTATTTGAAAAAAAGTGTATGAATAAGTTAGTTACTCTATTAAGTTCAATTTTAATAAATCATATTGTGTTTAGGTATAAAATTCAAATTAGATTAAAATTTTTTTACCTAAATACTAAATTATGCATTCTTGATTGGCAAAAATATATCTAATTAAATATGTAAAGATTTCATTAAACTTTTCCCTATTTTCTCTCCATCTTTCTTTCTCTCCATTACTTTTCTCGTCTCTCCCATATTTTCTCTCTCTATTTATCATTAATAATTTATTTTCTTTTCAAATATATAAAAATTTAATTTATTTTTTCATATCTCTTTCTCCCGTATTCTCTCTCTCTTCCCCTAGTTTCTTTAACCATCTCTTTCTCCCTATTTTTTTTCTCTCTCTATTTATATCAACATTACAACAAAACAATTACACTAATCATTTATAATATGCCAAATAGTTACTAATGTGTTATAATAAACCAAACAGTTATACAAAATTATGACACTAATCTAATTTGTTATTCAGTTGTTCACATAAACTAAATAGTTGTATCATTTAGTATTGTTACACCAATTATATATATGTCAAATTTAATATAATAATAAATATGACAATTAAATCTTTAAAAAAGGATAAAATTTCACCATTAAAGATTTAAGTCTCTTTTAATTTTAGTAAAAAAAAAAGTCTCCATTAATTTGATATAAGTTTGAGTAAGGGTTTAAGTAAGTTTTTTAGATTTTTTTTATTTAAATTTGAGTTAGGGTTAGAGATACCCTAAGGGAGACTTAAATCCTTATCCAAATCTTTAATGGTGAAATTTCATTCTCTTTTAAAGATTTAATGGACATCTTTACTCTCATTTAATTTTAGGTTTACCCTTATTTAAATTTAAGTTTTTCGTTCTTTAAATTTGAGTTTGTTCATTGAAGTCTTTTGTATCAAATCAAGTTTTTTACTAAAATACTATCTTAAATTTGAGTTATGATTAGAGATGGTTCAAGGAGAAAGAATAAGGAAATAAGGGGAGAGGGAGTAAATGAAAGAGAAAAAATAGAGGAAAGAGAGATAACAAAATTAAATCAAATATTTACATATTTAAAAAAATAAATTATAAATGTGAGAGATAGAGAGAGAAAAATAGATAGAAAAAAAATAGGGAAGAGAGAATAATGGAGAGAGGGAAAGATAGAGAGACTAATCGAGTAATAAATGACTTTTTAATTTTTTTTTTTCAAAAAAGTACACTTAGTCTAAATGTAGTTTAGATCAAATAAGTCTAGATTTTTGTACCGATTTTCAAATTAACGAAAAAACTTGGACTTTAGGCCTCATTTTTAAAGAATGTCTCAAATTTTTAGATATCATAAATAGTACATATAAAAAAATTAAATTCATAAATATTTTAAACCCTACAAAAAGTACAAGTTGAATAAAAAAAAATTTAAGATCTCACTTCAAGGAAGGCCCATAATTTATAAGTGTGCAGTAATAGGTCATACAAAAAATTTAAATCCACTTCCCAACAAAAGATTTCAATTTAAATAAATTGGACATATTAATTTAATCTTGAAATTAAAAGGTCTTAAAATTTATTTTTTTAAATAAAGAAAAAAAACTAACCGTAAAATTAAAGTTATTAAAAAATTTAATTTTAACCCCCAAAAAAGTCAAGTTCAAATTTATCATCAGAATTTTTTAATCACTCTTTCTCTTTCCTATCGTTAAGTTCAAATATGGTGATAAAATCTTCAATATAAAATTTTAATTAATATTTTTGTATTTAATAAAAATAAAAAAGCGTTATTGTTTCGGCTTTAGCCCCAAAACCTTGACGTCGCAAGTCGGTCATCGCCAGCACCTCTCTCACTCTCTCTCTCTCTCTCTCTCTCTCACAGACACAGAGCGCTGGCGCATTGGATCTTGTTTAATCTGTTGAATTTTTCAGGTTACATCGAGATCTTTCAAAGGAAGAAGAAATGGCTTACGCAGCGATGAAGCCAACAAAGCCGGGGTTGAAGGAACCTTAGGAACAGATTCACAAGATTAGAATCACTCTCTCCTCCAAGAACCTCGAAAAAAGGTCTCTTTCTTTTATTTCTACGTTTATTATTAGATATATGACTGACTCTGGTTTTGATTCTTTGCAATTGATTTGATGTTAGTGTAATAGTGTGCGCTGATTTGGTTCTTGGTGGCCCAGGCAAAAAGCTCAGGGTCAAGGGACCAGTGAGGATGCCCACCAAGGTTCTTCACATCACTACTAGAAAGTCACCATGCAGCGAAGGTACATTTTTTAAAAGGTTATAACCCAATTATTATAATTGGAAGGTTGTGCTTAGGCTGACGATTGTATCTCTTTGTCCATGTCCGTGTCCATACTTCTCAGACCTTAGTTAAACATCAAATTGTTTTTAGATTGATGTATTTCACATAATTGACTATAAATTTCCTATCCCAATGATTATAGAGTTCAATGTGCTCCCCAATCGTAGCTATCAAAGGTTACGAAGTGCAATCTTATGTAAAAACATGAATTTGTCCATCTATGGTGGCCACTTATTCAAGTTAAGGGTTAATTGTATTAGAGGTCCTTAAAGTATGGGATTTGTCTCATTTTGATTCTCAATGTTTTAGTTGCACCATTTTGGTCCCTAAAGTATTGAATATGTTTCTATATGGTCTCTCAGTCAAACAACGTCTAAATTACTAACAATTTTTTATCAAAAACTTATCTTGTAATACTTAAATATGGACAAAAAATAATTTTGATAGCTCTTAAACAAAATTTAGTTAGCTATTGACAAAAAAAATGTATAATATGGGTAATTTTTGACTAAAATTTGGATAATGATCTAAATTGTCTAATTTAGGTAGCTATTTAACCAAAATTTAAGTAAAAATTTGGTCAAGAGTTATTCAAATTATTTTTTTGTCCATATTTAAGTATCACCTGACAAATTTGTGATAAAAAAATGTTAGCAATCTGAACATTATCTACTTAAGTGACCATATAAAACATATTCAATATTTCAGAGACAAAAATAATACAATTGAAAATATTGGGTGCCAAAATAAGATAAATTTCATATTTTCGGGACCTCCAGTATAATCAACCCTAACTAATATATGGATAATAGTGACAAGAATATGTTTTAGTGCAGCTGGGCATGCCGGCATGCTTATACCAACATGTAACAAAATAAATAAAATCTGCTTTGCAATATTAACGGTTAATTATTACCCATTTTTTATCAACAGGAACCATGGGTAGGGCAGTTAGTCGAGTTCGAGCCGAGCTTGAAAAGCTTGTTTTTTAATCGAATTTTAAAAATTGTTCAAGTTCGACTCGTTTAAAAAATGAACCGAGCCGAACCCAAGTCAAGCCCGAGTATTTGAACATAAACGAGTCGAGCTTGTTGAATTTGAACCAAGCTTGTAGGGCTTGTTTTCTAAACGAGTCTAAAAATTTGTTCAATTTCGAATTCATTTAAAAAACGAATCGAGTCTGAACGAACCGAACCCGAGCCAAACTAAAGTCAAGGTCGAATAGTTCAGTTTAATTAACAGCCCTTCACATGAGATAGGTTTGAACTCTGCGTCCACAAGCGGGTGATTGACCTCTTTAGCTCCCCAGATGTGGTTAAGCAGATTACCTCAATCACATGAGCCTGGTGTTGAGGTTGAGGTTGAGGTTACCATTGCTCATTCTTAAACTTGCCGTACTCTTTTCTATATTTATATGATTACCCATAGGACCAATTTCTAGCACATCACAGTCTTAGATTCATGAAAAATCAGTATTTCTAGTGGACTAAATCAATTATCTACCAGATGTTACAATTTTGGTTGTGACAGTAATAAGTATTCTACCATTTTTGCTTTTATTACTAAGTATGGGCAGTAAACCATGCCCTCACTTCTCCAGGTTTCATCCTCCTCTGCCTAGGTAGAACACCCCAAATTCAAAAGACACAACTGGAACTTGTCCTTTATTTCTTTCATTAAGAGGATGTAAAATGAATGGAGTTTCCATGGATCCCATTGTAATCTCTGGCCAAAAGCATGATGAACTAATCATATCCAAAAATCGAACTGTATTGTCACCTAAGCTGTTTAATATGTCAGTGTCCATTGCTCGGATTGAACTTAAATACTTATCAATCAACCAAGACGGGCACAAAGAACCAGAGAAAGATCCAAAAGACTGCAAACTAACTTGGAATCTCCATCACTGATCTCTACAGTAGTTGCTATCGCACAAATGCGGTAGTTACAGAAAGGCGTAACGAAGTGCACTGACTGAGACAATGGGATGGCAAAAAAGAAGACTGGTTGTGGAGACATAGGAAAAAGAACGGACAGATATAGAAGTCAGATCTGAAGAAGCCATGGCATTCTTGGCCTATGGTGCAGGTTAAAGAATCGTAGAAACAGAGTTGAATGACTGTTAGAATGGAGAGAGAAAAAGAGATTTAGAGAGAGAAAGATTTACTTCAGTTCAGATTTAGAAACAAAAACAATGGGCTGGGTATTATAAAATGAGAGCAAAAAGTGTTCTCAGGTTATTTAAAATTATGTAATAATCACATAAGCAGTTAATTAATATGTCTGCATTACTCCCATTGTAGGTTCAATCATATCACTCATGCACACATACATCACACAGTTAATCCTGAATAAAGAAACCAAACCACATTCCAGTACTAACACAACATTAACAATTTGTCGCATGTCATAAGATGGAAAACATGCAAAAAACCCATTCAGGTGCCAGACAAACATGTGAAAGAAACCAAATGTAAAGATGTCCTGGTATTGAACGTTCTCCCAAAACATAGCCTTCACTTCCTAAAAGACACTCCCAAAAGATAACCCAGGCAGATTTACTAACCTAGGATCTGCTAAGAGACCGGAACAAGACATTAAAACATCCTACAGGATTAGAATAAGAATACTGTCAATAAGTGAACACGTTGTTCATCAGTTAAACATCAATTAGATATCAGAAAGGAGCTCATTCCTTGGTGGTTTTGTTGATGAGAGACTTATGAATATGAGGGATGACACCACCTCCAGCAATGGTTCCTTTAATGAGTGTGTCAAGCTCTTCATCACCACGAATAGCCAGCTGCAGATGCCTTGGGGTGATTCTCTTCACTTTCAGATCTTTGCTAGCATTTCCAGCCAACTCAAGCACCTCAGCAGTCAGATATTCAAGAATTGCAGCTGAGTAAACAGCAGCTGTGGCTCCAACTCGCCCATTTGCAGAAGTCCTTGATTTGAGTTGACGATGAATTCGTCCTACTGGAAACTAAGTACCCACACACAGAAACAAAGAAATGAGGTCAACATATATTTTGATCAGAGCCAAAAAAAATTCATAATATTTCCAATCTTGATTGTGTGTTTGTGCTTCTGTAGATGCAAATTAGTAACCAGCTCCATCTTTTCAGGTGACACTACTGTGCAAAATTGTCTTGCTTTTGCATGCTTACAAGAATTATAAATATACTGAGGAGCACAGTATAGTTGGCATACAACTAGAGGGAATGATCTATACTACTTTTCTTATTAATCATCATGCTACACAAAACCCATCAATATTCACTTTCGGCAAAAAATTACCACCAACAAAAAGGGAAGCATATATAGCAGCATGAATGGTGTTGGGTTTGTTGCAGCGATCCACAGTATCAACAAATGGGGCAACTAAGCTGTGCTACATAACCATATAAAGTTGCCTATATCACCATCCGCTATGCAGTCAGCTGCCAATCTCTAACTTATATCAACAACTACTACTAATACAAGTCCAAATTAGTTCCAACTAGTTCAACCATGCCTTGTGCACCCACTGTGCCTAAATAATATCAAACATTACATTTGTAGCCGGTCCAACCTTCATATAACCGTTGATTTACAGGAACCAAACTCGGCAACTGCCATAAGTACAACTATACATGGTACTTGTCACCCTTATATGATGCATTTAAGACTATCATTTTTTGACAGACGCAAGCGAGATGAGATTCAAATTTTGCCCAGTTACCTTTAAGATATGGCATTTTTAATATTAGGGAATACTATGAAATTAATGGAGCTGAGAATGCAAGTTCAAACAAAGTTTAATTCACGGAAATGCAGATGATTCCGGATTTCAATGTAATGTGGTTAAATTAAGTGTAGACTCTTCTCTTTTGGATCCTTGTAACATTTTTCAACATTAGAGCAATTGCAAACGCCAATACATTTCAACTAACTTGGATTTTCGAACTCTTATTGTAAAATAGCTTGAACATCAAAGTATCAATAAAACTCTCCTCCATATCCCCAATTCCCTAAATTCCACACATTACCTAACTATCATCGCAATCAGCCAATTATCAGCAGAACTTATAATCCTGTTAACGCACTCTTTACATCAATAAATTCTTATTAAATCTCCTCTCCTTTCATTTTCCCAATGACCATTTTAAGACTTACGGCATGAAGACATAAAACAACATTTTGGAAAGGCCTCTCAGTATCCGGGATCACAATTCTCTTGGAATTGAATATAGTACTAGGCTATTCAAACTAACAACCAAAAGGTCATTTATAGATTTAGGAAGACGTATATATACCTGAAGACCGGCTCGAGATGACCGAGAAACTGGCCTCTTCTTATCCTTCTCTTTGCTTGCCGCCGCCGCCGCTGCTGCTGCTGCTGCTGTAGTTTTTCCTGCCAAAAGCCCCTTTCCGCCCTTTCCCGCCATTTGGTCTACCCAATCAAATAACAAATTTCACAACCATCAATAAAAAAAATGGAAAACAAACGGAAATAATATCAGATCTACCAGACAATTCATGAATCTCACAGATAATAGTTGAGAAATTTCACTACACACACACACACAGAGATGACTAAATTTCACAACCGAAACAAAACCTGATTAAACAGTTGAGGGATACCAAACCCACAGATAGCATCTACACAGATTCTACAACATGCTACGTATAAACGTAAATAAAAGACCGTTCAGAAAGACAAACAAAGAGACCTGAGATGTTCGGAAGCCGAAGAAACAACAGAAGAGACAACCAGTGACAGTGAGAAGGAAGAGAGATGTGAGGTTGATAATACATGGGCTCTTTACTTAGAAATTTATTACTTGGGCTTCGGGATTTGAATTTTTGAATATGTAAAGTCAAATTGGCGGTTACTTTTGGGAGGGAAAAGCCTTTTGGTATTTCAAATTTTTTTGCCTTCTTACCCAACCAAGCGCAACGGACATTCAAAATTGGCTTGATACCCTAAAATATTAATATTTTTAGATTGCACCCTTAATTGGTTAAAAAATTAATAATATGGTTCACAATAACAAATTTATTGCCTTATTAATTTATTTGGCACTTTTTTGTATTGTAGTCTTTATATTTTTTTTATTTTTATGCTCAATTACTTGTATATTAGGTGTTTTATTTAAAAATTTCTTACTTCATTTTATTAAAATAAACTACATTGCCACCTTATTATGTGATTGATACTCCGTTTGGTATGATGAAAAAGAAAAATGATGGAAAGTTGAAAGGATGAAAAATTAAAGTAATAGATAAAACATCATGTTTGATAAGGAAAGATAGAAAAGTGAATGGATTAATTTTCATTTCAACTCAACAAAATCAATTCCCTCAAAATCGGAAGGAAAGTGAATAGAAAGTTAATTATTTGTGTTAAGAGGTATCTTATTTGTCTATATATATTATGTATACATTAATTTCATATAAAAATATTATGATATAATATGTATGTATGTGTATATATATATATATACATATTTAAAAAAATTTAAATTAAAAAAAAATATTTTTTTCATCTTAACTAGAGGTGAAAATTTACGACTCAACACGATAACATGATTCAAACACGACACAAATTTTATGACACGAATTTGGTTATAACTCAACACAAACTTGAAAATAACCTGATATACAAACAAGAAATATAAAAGACTCATAATTTTATGACTCAATACGAATCTAACAAGACACGACTCGATTGTCAACCCTAATTTTAGCTATCACAAAAAAAAAATTAGTCATTTTTATTTTTCAATCATCAAATTAAACACAAAAGAAGAAAAATGTATCTAGGAGTGTTCAAATTTTCAATTGGTCGCAATTTTCTACCTTACGGGACCTGACCCTACCCTAGTGAACGGTGGATAGAAATGCGGAAGAGTTTTTAGTCTTCCGATTAAATCGGGTAGGAATGCGAAATACCCATCAATTTTCGCATTCCTACCCTACCCGACCCGAAAAAAATATATTTAACTTTTTTATATTTTTTTATAAGTGTATTTTTGTGATATAATTTATATTATAACATTATCACTGTTGTGGATGTTTGAGTTGCTAAAACATGAACTTATTTTTTGTGTAAATTACATAATTTATCGTGAACTAATGATCTATTAGAGCAATTATAATTTTAATGTGTTTCATATAGTTTAAACTTAAAATAATTGATGTTGTATTTGTATTTGTGTAACAATTATGATGGATTGATGTTCATGATTTTTTGTGTTTTATTATAATTGTTGTTGTAGTTGTTTTAAATTTTAGTGTTATTGATTTATTATTGTGTTGTTAAATTGGTACATGTTATTTAATTGAATTGAATTGTTAAAATAATCCAAAAATTAATAACTACAAAAGTGTTTATTTAATCAAGTAAAAAGTCGGATAAAAATATCACAACTGATCAGGTAGGGTAGGATAAAAAAAAATTATTTTACAAAATATCGGATAAGAAGACGAAAGACTATATTTTTTACCCGTAGGGTAGGGCGAACACCCGTAAATATATTATTCCTACTTTTCATACGAGGGTTGCTCTTCGTTCTCAACCCTTAAACCCTAAAACATCTCCTTACCTCCCTGTCGTCGACTAACCCAACTGCTGACCAAATTACTTGTAAGTACTATGAAAACTATTACTGGTAGAATGAATGTCGTAAAACGAGTGCCAGCGATTGTTGTTAATGATAGATACTTACCCTGGTTGGAGGGAAAATAGGGTGGATGAAAAATGGAGGAAGGAAAGTGGAAGGGAAGGCTCCCCTTTCCATTGTTTGGTTTGAAGGGAAAATGGAAGGGAAATGTCTTCCTTGCGCCCACCAAACATTTCTAAAAATGGACCGAACAATGGAGGGAATACGGGCTTTTTGTGAATTGACTATTTTACCCTTTCTTTTTTAGACAAAACTCATTCCCTTCCCGCACACAGAAGACTTCACGGGAACAGGGTAAGAGCTCTCTCTCTCTCTCTCTCTCTCACACACACACAGAGATGAAGATCGGTTGATCTTTTGTGGGTTTCTGTGGTTTCAGAGCAACGAAGTTCGCTACTTTCCAGCGTCTTCTCAGATGATCTGGGTTCTAGTGTCTTTTTTTTTTCTACATCTGGGTGTGTAGGTTTTGTGAGGAAAGAGAGAGAAGAGATGAGTTTTGTGGGAGCAGATGGGTTTTATGAAGATAGAGACAGAGGAGATGGGTTTTTCTGCATCTGGGTGTGTGGGTTTTGTGGAGACAGAGAGAGAAGAGATAGGTTTTGTGATAAGAGATGGATTTTGTGAAAAAAGATGGGTTTCTGTGGTTTCAGAGCAACGAAGATCGCTGTTTTCCAGCGTCTTCTCCGATGATTTGGGTTCCAGTGTATTTTTTTTTCTTGCATTTGGGTGTGTGGGTTTTGTGGAGACAGACAGAGTAGATGGGTTTTATGAAGACAGAGAAAGAGGAGATACGTTTTATGAAGATAGAGAGAGAGGAGATGGGCTTTTGTGAAGACAGAGAGAAAGGATATGGGTTTTCTGCATCAGTTTAATTTTTTTTAATTATATTTTGATAGATTGTATAATTATATACTAAATATAATATTTGTTAAAAAAAATCAGATGTTTAAATGTCAAGGAATTTGAGTAATTAAATGACNTTATTTTGATAGATTGTATAATTATATACTAACTATATTATTTGTTAAAAAAAATCAGATGTTTAAATGTCAAGGAATTTGAGTAATTAAATGACAAATATCAGGGGTCTCAGTATAATTGTCTCTTATTTTTTTATTTCGTTAAAGGATAAAAAAAAAAATTAACAGGAAGCTCGTGCTAAAATCGAACAGGAAGCATTTTTAGCTGTTCATTTTCATTCGAAAGGGACGGTTACAAATCGGGTGGTTGGGTTTGCGGGTTTTTTGCACAACACTAATTACTATGGAAAAATTCACCACTTATAGATGTGAGAGTATAATGGTAAATTTGGTATATATATTTTTTATTTTTATCCGATACCAAACAAAGGAAAATACATCCTTTCAATTTTTCATCCATCATACGAAACATAAATGAGAAAAAATATATTTCTTCCTTATAAGGATTAAAAATCTTTCTCATATATTTTTCACTCTTTCAACTTTTCATTATTTTTATCAAACAGATTATTAGCTTCTGTTTAGTTAGCGTCAAAACACCGGAGAGTGTAGGGAAAAAAAAATCATTTATTTTATTTTTAACAATCTTTTCATTCTAATCAACCGTATACAAGATAATAAAAAAAAAATTAACCAAACCGAGCCTTACGGAAATGTGATCCATTTGGGGCGTCCTTGGTCGTGCCAACTCAGTCAATGCCGAGGTGATGTCGGATTTTGAATTTGTTTGAGTTTGAAATTTGGACCGTTGATTTAGTGTTGAATTTCATAACTTTTATGTTGGATCCTATTCAGGGGAGTGTTGTTTAGCTCCTATCTTTGGATTTGATATATAGGTTACTACTCGTGCCCTACGTAAAGCATATTTTTTATGTTAAAATTTTACTGAGTTATTATGATTAAAAAGTTAAAATTTAAATAAATTATTATAATTAAAAGATTAAATCGTTGGATTTAAATAATCTGACCCATTGTTTTCCTTTTCTAACTAAAAATTTAAAAAAGAAATAAAGTTGTTCTTATAAAAAATTTAAACCTATAAAAATTGAGTCTAAAAAAAAACTCAATTAAAATTACAAGCAACAAAGATTGTATTATTTTCTGATTATAGAATTGTTTGGTTGATTTGTAAATATAACAATTAGAAACTTAACATTTATATTTGAAAATTTTTGACGAAGGAAAATTTTAAAAGATATTTGAATTTTAAATAAAATATTCTTAAATATATTTGTCACTAATAACAGGCACAACATAACAAAAAAATTTAGGTTAATTTTAGATAAATGCACAATAATAGATCCCATAAACTTAAAAAGATTACGTGGATTAGGAATGTGATTAATTGAAAAGATACATGTATAAAACTTAGAGTAATTTTATTTGGACTTAAAAATCCTGACATAATTTGCTGACCTAATGATGTGACTTCATTGAAACTATTGGATTAACACCGAGTTCTAATATTTAATGGATCTCACAATTAATCCAAAGGTCATAATGAATTAGGTCAATAAATTAGTTCATTAAATTAGGTTTCAATATCATTGCTCTAAAACTTAAATGCAAAATTTTACTAATAATCACCATCTCAAAAAGAGAGAATTTTTTTAAATTAATATTAAAAAATTAAAAATAAGTTCAGCTACAGCCACTATTAAAACCTCAAAGTATATCAAGGGTAATAAGATATTTGAGAGATTTTGAGAAGTGCGACTCAAACAAAAGATAAGGGAGAAAAATAGATAGATGTGCATATTTGTTTATTAAAAATGGTGTATTTAACCATGATAATCAATGCATATTTATAATTTCTTTCAATTGTACTATTAAACAGCTCCACGCATATAGAATGGATATGAAATAGCCCATATATAATGTTTAATATATATATATTAGATGACTAAATTACCAAAAAAAATAAAATTATACGATACCACGCTATAACATTTAATATTTTTATTATGCACCACCTTGTGATGGTGCACACATAATATTTTGATTATGCACCACCTTGTGATGGTGCACTCAGGATTTTTGACAAATTAAAATAAAATGCATAAAATATATATTACAAAAATATTGTCTTTAATCCTTATGTGTTATCCGATGATCAATTTTGTCTCACCTAATCAATTCTATGGACGAAAAC